TTTGGTAGTTTCGCTATTCAAATTGGCTCGATAGGCTGTATATGGTGGTAGGAACTTTGGCTGCCATGGCCCATGGAGCTGCCCTCCCTCTCATGATGTTGATCTTTGGAGAAATGACGGATAGCTTCGCAAATCCGGGGAACTACAGTAAGTATTCTGTATACTGATTTTATTGGGAGCTTGCAGAAAAACCAGTCATTTAGTGTGATGTTTGTGAAGTCCTTACTAAATATATAACATATGTTTAGTGCCATGGGAGGTGGAGGGTCTGAACAATAGTTCATATTTGTTTTGAGTTTGGGAAGATGTTACAAGTATCAGAATACACAATGGAAGTGTTGCAGAGATATGTAGAAAAAGAGAGCACTCTACAATAAAGTGAGATATAGCCTAGAAAGCTTCCAGAAGAAATAAAGAAAACTAAGCAGAACCTCCAATGATAAGTAGGAATCAGTTACAGGATTCCCTGACAGATTGAATATAGGTATAAAAATTGAGGATCATGGTAAAGTTTTTAGCCTGAAAAACTAGAAAGATACAGTTACTTTCAATGGAGCTGAGAAAGGTGGAGGGAGAGTAAAGTTGGGCAGTAAATTCCAGAAATTTAGTTTTGGACTTGTCATGGGTTTATTAGCTTTCTGGAAGCAGAAATAGGAATGGAAAAATGGGGCCAAGGAAAGTTGTGTATGAGTGTAAGAGTGTGTGTGTGTGTGTGTGTGTGTGTATTTTACAGTTGGAGAAATAATAGTTGTTTGTGTTTTAATGTGTTACCTGTCTCTAAAACCCTACTTTCAGTACATTTTAGTTTGGAGGTTTGAGGAATTTCTTAATATTTTTATTTCCTTTTTAAAAAGATTATTGATTTCTTCCATGAGCGTATAACAAAGAGAAAGCACCCACAAAGGGTCTTGATACTGACTCCATCCCCAGCTCTGTTTCCTGGAGAAACCTGAGCCTGGTGCTCTCAGGGAGGTCTCCCAGTCCAAGCATGTGTGTGTATTTTACAGTTGGAGAAATAATAGTTGTTTGTGTTTTAATGTGTTACCTGTCTCTAAAACCCTACTTTCAGTACATTTTAGTTTGGAGGTTTGAGGAATTTCTTAATATTTTTATTTCCTTTTTAAAAAGATTATTGATTTCTTCCATGAGCGTATAACAAAGAGAAAGCACCCACAAAGGGTCTTGATACTGACTCCATCCCCAGCTCTGTTTCCTGGAGAAACCTGAGCCTGGTGCTCTCAGGGAGGTCTCCCAGTGCAAGCTGGGAACCTTCCCATGTGGGTTCGTCTTGCACAATGCTACAGTTTACTTCTGTGCCACTTTCTGGTCCCCTGATTTCTTCACCTGTGAAAAACTTGAGTAACTATAGAACCTACGTCATAGGACAGTTATGACAATGAAATGGATTCATTGATTTCAGACTCACGGAACAGAGCCTCGTCAAAAAACCATGTTAAAGACATGTTGATTACGATTATCAACAGGATACTAAGGGGTCCTTGTTCCTTACACATGAACCTGTGTAACTTAGATGATGCTGTGGTTCCTTGTCTAATTCCATTTTTATGATACTGCGATACCACTTTAATTTTCAGTTGCTGAAAACTTTGGACATAACTAGAGTTACTGGGTTCCCACTTTACATATGAATAATCATCCCTTTAAGTAGAATTTACTTATTGAATGGGTCAACAGTCATGCCTTTCAGGGAAGGTAGACATTTTCACATATTGCCCATTGACCTAATTTGGCCTACTCCCTCTTTTTGTATAGCCTGTGACATAAGATTCGTTTCTACAGTTTTAAATCATTTTCAAAAATGAAAGAATAAATAATATTTTTCAACACATAAAAATTATATGAAATTTAAATTTCATATCTATAAACAAAATATTGAAACACTGCTGATCTACTTGTTTGCATATCAGCTGTGGCTGTTTGCATGCCTCAGAGCACAGTGCAGTAGTTATACTATAGACCATATGGTCTGCATAGCTCTGAATATTTACCCTCTGGTGTTTATAGAAAACAGTCACTGATCTCTGGGTTACGGTATTGAGTGAAGGGTTATGAGATTCAATCCATCAGTGAATTTGTATCAAAGCATTCTGTGTGCCAGCCCTAGTACGTGCCCTGTTCATGCCCACCTCTCAAGAGCTTAAGTGAAAGGACTGGACAGGTGAACCAACAAATGCAATTGGATACGATTAGTGCTGTGATACAGAAATATACAAAAGGCTTTGGGAAAGGACAGAAAGGTACCTGACTCTGTATATAAGAATCAAGGGAGGCTTCCAATAGGAGGTGATAATTAAGTTTGGTCAGCATCTCTCTTCTCCATAAAATGCACGTGTTTTCTGTAAGAAGCGAAATCATTTTTGTAATTGCCAGAGGGTGCATGTGTCCACCAGAGGTAGAAAAACAGGAAGAGAAAGCATCCCCCAATGGGATGTGGTCTCAACATACTCACTTCCCCATTTTTCTGTCCTTTTAGGATTTGGGGCACATAGACCTGGTGTGTTTTTCTCTGGGGCTGGGATTTGAACCACAGTTGGCCATGTCAGATCCAGCTCCCTTGACCACTAGGCCACAGGGTTGACCTAGAAGTAAAAGCATTTTTAGGTAAAGATTAAATGCATAAGTAAAGTTAAACCCTTCTTTATCGGCACTTGTCATTGCCACCCCGATTGTGTATCCTTTCATGCCTTTCCAAAGGCAGCATGCTGGCCCTCCTGTAATTTTTACTCTAGGACACCTGATACACTACAGTAACCTGCTCTTCTGCAGATTCAGACTTCCAGCTAGATAAGGCTTCCTGGGTGAGGGAAGAAGCATGAAAGGTATTGATTCTTTTCTCAGTGATGAGGGCAAACATGTTCTGGAATGTTTCTAAAGGACTCCTGGGGTCCCATATACTCGCAGAACTTTCTTCTGCTTGCTGTATCCTAGGCAGAATTTCATTACTTCTCTATGGGTTGGACCAGATACCAGAGCCTCCTTGTTGGAGAAGTATTCCTTGCCGAATGAGGCTTGGATTTGTCAGGGCTCTTGAAGGGTTGACATCAAACATGGAATCTAACCAGACAGTTTGAAAAACTTTTTAAATGAGCAGATCCTT